TTAAACTCAATTAACATAGTAATATAGCTTCATTAGCTTTGTTTTTTGATGTTTATCTGGGAGATATTTTCAGTTTTGAAATTTCAATATTTTTGAGCCCTTTATACACATCTCTTGTAAACATTATGTAGACAGATTTTTTTTTTAAGATTTTATTTATTTATTTGACAGAGAGAGCGAGCAGAGGAACACAAGCAGGGGGGGTGGGAGAGGGAGAAGCAGGCTTCCCGCAGAGCAGGGAGCCTCATGTGGGGCTCTATCCCAGGACCCTGGGATCATGACCTGAGCCGAAGGCAGATTAACTACTGAGCCACCCAGGTGCCCCAAGATAGATTTTTTTTTAATCAGTTGAAAACATTTATAAGGTAGACCATTAAATGTATTCACAAATCACTAATACATTTGGATTTAAACCACCATGTATTTGCCCCCATATGTTTTATTTTCTTATTCTTTTTTTGCCTTCTTTCACATTAGTTTTCTTTTTCCTTTTCTAGTGGTGGTTATAATTTTATTCTTATTCTTTTTGTAGGAAATCCTATTAACTACCACATGCAAATTTAGATGATCAGACTCCAAAGACACTGTTAACATGCTAGACAAGAAAAGGACTCATGAAAATTTTTTACTGTAGTTATCACATTGCCACTGAATTAAATATTTATTGTTGTTATGGACTATTTCATTTTTATAACCTATGAGAATATTGTTGTTAATTGTTTTATTTATTTATTTATTTATTTTTAAAGATTTTATTTATTTGAGAGAGATGGAGAGTACGAGCCAGGCAGGGAGGAGCAGAGGGAGAGGGAGAAGCAGACTCCCCACTGAGCAGGGAGCACAACGGGGGCTTGATCCCAGGGGCCCTGGGATCATGACCTGAGCTGAAGGCAGAAGCTTAACCAACTGAACCACCCAGGCATCCCCTGAAGGATATTTTCTATTTTCATAGATATCTTGATTTTTAATTGACCTTTAATATGTTAAATATTTCATTCTATAATCTAATTTTCATTTTTTGCTGTTAAGAAATATATTGGCCTTTTGACTGATTGCTATGCAACTATTCTATACTTTGCTTTTAAGATCATCTCTTGATTTTGAAAGTCTATTTTATTAAGATACTTTGGGTGTGAATCAATTTTTATTTATTCTGTTGGGATTTGTTAGTCTTTTAGTATTATTGAATCTATGCATTATAATTATCATTATCCCTGGGCATTTTCAGTCATAATCTTTTCAAACAATGCCTTGGTCCCATTTTTTATTTATTCCAGGACTCAAACACATATCAGTTTTTCTTATTGTATCTTCCATGCCTCTTGATCATTTTCTCATATTTTCTACATTTTCAAACCTTCTGAAGACTTTCTTCTGGCATATTATCCATATAGTTCTATTGTATTCTGGGTCTACTTTGAAAGCCATAGGTATTACCTCACAAACCTCCAACTATGAAAACTGTAAATTACCAGAGAGCTCTCTGGTTGGTTAGCAGTTTCTGACATGACTTTCAGTGATATCTGCCTTTTGATATCAAAAGCAGATATCACTCTCCTAAAATCACCTCCCCTTGCATGTGGGCTAGATCCAGAGAGTTCCTTCTAATAAATAAAGTAAAAGTGATGGAATATCATCTTTATGATTAGGTTGTAAGAACTGTGACTTGTCTTGCTAGCACTTTCTTGTTCTATTGCTTATTTGCTCTGATGAATTTTGGTGTAATGTTTTGAGATGCTCTATAGAGAAGCCCACATGGCAAGGACACAATGTAGGCCAACAACCCTTGAAAATCAACCTGCTAACAACCAGGAGTGTGATAACAAGGAGTGTTTTACCTATTTTGGCCTGCTTGATCTATCATTTCTGACAGAAATATTTTAAAATCTTATGCTAGTCAATTTATTTTTATAATGCTGTCAGCGTTTTCTTTATGTATTTCTAGGCTATATGAAGTGCATATGATTTTATAGCTTTTGTATCCTCATAGTGGATTTTCATATATGTATATGTGTATATATGCATTTTTTTTAAGATTTTTATTTATTATTGAGAAAGAGAGTGAGAGAGAGAGCACACGAGAGAGCACAGAGGGAGAGCGAGCACAGAGGCAGAGGGAGAAGCCAACTCACTGCTGAGCAGAGAGCCCGATGTGGGGCTCGATCCCAGCACCCTGAGAACATGACCTGAGCCAAAGGCAAATGCTTAACCAACTGAGCCTCCCAGGCGCCCCATACATGCATTATTTAATCCCTTTAATATTTCATCTTTTAAAGTATATTTTTGCTTGATCTTGATATTCTAAAAGATTCATCCTGATTAGAATTTCACTGGCAGATCTCATTTTATTTAGTTAGTTAAAAGTGTTTCTGTTTGGTTTTATTTTAGATTGATTCCTCCAGGTCACATATAACTGATTTCTGTGCTTCTATGTAAATCTGATCATTATCTTCTTAATTGTTTGTTTATTTTTGTGGGGTTTAGCTAACTTTCTGCTGATGTAGGAAAATCTTAGCTGAGACAACTGGGGAGATTTGGCGATACCCTATTTCTCCAGTTAGTTAGCAATGTTTGCATGGTAATAGGAGAGGAGTAGAGCAAGCAAGCACAATCACACATGAACTGCTGGCATCCCATTTGCTAAAATCCAAATGACAATGGCAAATCAAATGGCTAAGCTCAAAGTTAGAGGTGGAGAACCCCACAAAGTTACATGGCAAAGGAAGTGGATATAGGACTGGGTGAGGAATTGAAACCATAATACTCTCAATTTTCCACACTCTTTTTCTTGCTTTGTATATCTTGAAGCTATCAGTTATGCTTCTATTTCTATTTTAATCATTTATCTGTCTCCATATATATACATTTGTACATATATCAGCATTTCATTCTTCTATCTGGCATAAGACAGATTTTAGCTTATATTAATTACAAATACAACATTTTCCATTTTGTAACATTTTCTAAAACTTTTCCTTCTCAATTTTGAGTATAGAAATTAGCTAGTGGTTTTTATAACTAATATTAAACGTGAAGGTACATTTGTATTAATTCCTGCACTTACCATTTTTTATTACGTCATATAAATCCTTCTTGGATGATTTTCTTCTCATCTAAGTATGTTTTCCAAAAGTTCTACTGTAAGCATTAGAGGAGTCATAAATGATTTATTAAATAAAATTTTAGAGATATGTTTATTGTTCTTCACTATTTTTTAATTTGTTGGGAATTAATACACATACAAGAACTTGATTATGTATGCTATCAAGTGTATACATTGATGATTTTTGAAATATGTATACACCCATGATTAAGGTATAGAAGCTTTTCAGCATACTAGAAGTTTCTCTTCTTCTTTCCCAGTCCATAGCACTGCCCCCTTCCATCCCAAAGAGGTCATCTTCATTCTGACTTCTATTACCAGACTTAGTTTTGCCTGTTCTTGAAATCCATATGAATGGAAGCATACATACAGCATATGCTCTTTAGCATCTTGATTGCTCTACATTGTAACTCTTAACAGATAGAATGATTCTTCCCATTTTATTCTTCTAAGTTTATTCTGATTTAGCAGGTATGAGAATGATAAAATCTAAACTATCAGTGTCTGGGGTCACAAGTAGCAAACTTTTAGCCTGAAAAATACTTAAAGGGCTAATGAATTGGTGGCATCAACTTTAAAGGAAATGGGGATAAGGAGACAACTAAAATAATATTTAGTTCCTGAATTCGATGACACTGGGCAGTTGTCCACTCTTACTCAGAGTCTATAATTCATTATCTGGACTCGGGGAAATAGATACCATTGAGAAAAGAAAAATTAATTTCAAAAGAAAGAAATATAACCAAACATATATCTTGAATGCTGAGGTTCCCCACCTATCATTATCTACTTGGCTTCTAGAATTCTGATAGGGAGACCTACACTCTCCAGACGTGGAAGGGTAAAGAAGAATCTTTTTTGCTTATTTGTTTATTGTTTTAACTTTCATTTCCATAGTGAGGTTATAACTTTCAGTTTTATTTTGACTCTACTCCTAAAAATCAGGGTTAGTGCATGAGAATCTGGGCTACTTCCAGGTGGAGTTATCTGTATTTCTTGCTGATATTTTATGGAAATGATAATTTTGTCATTTTCTCACCATCCTTTTTACCTATATTAAACTCTAACACCAGTGCCTAAAGGGACTTTGTATATTTGGAATATGTTTTCTACCTACCAGAGAAGATACAGGATTATGTGATCACAGTTTAGCTCTGGCTTTCTTTGTGGAAGATCACATAGGAACAAAATATTCCTTGGCAATTTATTTTTTAGTAAACCTGTTGTTTTTCTAAGCTGCAGTTTCCTCCATTTTACCTCTAGACCAGGAAAGACAAAACAGTAAACTAGGGCTTTAAAAATGTGTGGTCTCCACTTCTATATCCTCTCTTCTTTTTTTCTCTTCTTTTTGTCTTGCCTTTCCATCCCTGTACTGCCCACCCTCTTTATCAAAGGTGCTTAGCTCTATCACCTGAAATCAAATCAAAAGGTGATTTATTTTAAATAATTTAGAAATCACTTTTCTCTCACTTTTTTCCATTGGAAACATAAATGCACCTGGTGAATTTTTTCTCACCATTTAGTTCTTGATCCTAAATGGTACTTTTAAGAAGTTGCTTTGGCAGGGTGCCTGGGTGGCTCAGTCGTTAAGTGTCTGCCTTCGGCTCAGGTCATGATCCTGGGGTCCTGGGATCGAGCCCCGCATTGGGCTCTCTGCTCAGCGGGAAGCCTGCTTCTCCCTCTCCACTCCCCCTGCTTGTGTTCCTTCTCTTGCTGTGTCTCTCTGTCAAATAAATAAAATCTTTAAAAAAAAAAAAGTTGCTTTGGAAAGGGGGAAGTTTTAGGAATAGGTAAATTCCATTGATTTACATTGTTAAGTCAGAAACTAATTTACATATAATTTTAAACATGATTTGCCTTTCATTGTGGATAAAACCAACTGTGTTTTTCCTCTTAGGAGAGAGAGAGAGAAACTTGACAATCTATATAGTCACTACTCTATAGCAATAGAAAATGTTAATGTTAGTATTGAGGAGAATGAAGAAGCAGTGAGTGAAGCATTGAAGGAAACAAAGACATCAACAGAGGAATTATCTGCTTTATCAAAAACGGTGGGTTTTCTGATTTAAAAATTTAAAAAAATACTGATTTTATTTTTAAGCCATAACTGTTAAAACTTACTGTCAGTAATGAAATAGCAGTTAGCCCACTTTCTGTCTATATTGGTTTTCTCTTACTACATAACAAATTACCAGAATTTTAGCAGCTTGAAACAACATCCATTTATTATCTCAAGGTTTCTCTGGGTCATGTCTTAGCTGGTTCCTGTGCTCTGGGTCTTCTAAGACTGAAATCAAGCTATCAGCAGCCCTACATTTCTTTCTGGAGACTCTAGGATTAATCTGCTGTCAGGCTCATGTCAGTTTTGGCAGGACTCAGTTTCTGTGCTTTTAGAACTGAAGTCATTGTTTCCCTGATGGCTCTCAGCCTGGGATCATTCTCAGCTTTCAGAGGCTGCTTGCATCCCAGTCTGGTGGTACCCTTCATCTTTAAATCCGGAATGGGGGGTTTGAGTCCTCTCTGGCATAGTATCACTCTGACCGTCCCTTATGATTCATCTTTCCTGCCACATCTCATTCACTATAGTAAAAGAAGTAATGGTAAAAGGAATTGATAAAATGGTAAAAAGAGGGCGCCTGGGTGGCTCAGTCGGTTAAGCGTCTGCCTTCGGCTCAGGTCATGATCCTGGGGTCCTGGGATCGAGTCCCGCATTGGGCTCTCTGCTCTGTGGGGAGCCTGCTTCTCCCTCTCCTCCCCACTTGTGCTCTCTATCTCACTGTCTCTGTCTCTCTCAAATAAATAAAATCTAAAAAAAAAAAAAATGGTAAAAAGAAATAATACTATAGTACAAAGCAATAATATACACATTCTGTACCATTTGGCATTCCTAGTTAGAATTAAAACTACATGTTTTTTTATTGCCACTTTCTATTATAATATTTCTATTATAATATTATAGTATATTTCTATCTATATACTCTTTATGTCTC